TGCCCCTGGCCCCTTTTATACTCTGCTGAGCAGCTGTTGACACCACAAGAAGCTCTCTTCCTGTTGTTGTTGTTTATGTTAATAAACAGGCAATTATCCAATTAGGTAGGTGCATTTCCCTGGTGAATGAAAAATATTATTTCCTTTTTCTTATGTGTTTCAATTTATCCATCCTTCTTCCTCATCAGCTTCCCAAGTGTCTTCCTTGCCTCAGCATCTTCAAAGGCAGCGGTCACGTGACATTATTCCTCTCGGTACCGTTTGTCCCAGTCTCGCTGTGCAGCACTCCACGTCTAACCTTGAGTCACGATGACTGCTCAGGCCCTCTCTCTCCATCTATCTATCTAGTAATTCACAGCAGGAAGATGAATCTCGTCATGCTACACACTTCTTACAGGGAAGGTGGGCAATGAAGGTTACAGTGTGAACAGAGACCACTGGCATTAGGACAGGGAGGCCGTTATATGTGCCTCCTCCCCCACTGTCAATTGGGGTCCCTGTTCCAGGTTAATCTGGGAAACCCAGGAGTATTTCAAGATGGAAACCACTTCTTGCTGCTGAGCATTTCCAACAAGGGAAATTGAATTTGTCTGTCACTTTCACAGCCCTACTTTAACTGTAACGCCATGGGTAATTAGATGAATTTTTAAGGTGAAATTACATGATGTTGGCGTTCAGGCCAGCTCTAAGTCTAGCATCACGATAGAGCTTCCCTCCAACAAGAGGAATATGTTTTTGTTATGTGAAGACGCAAAGCTTTTTCTAAAAATGAAACCATGCCCACAGGCTGGCTTGTGTGCGTGTTTGTGTCTTTACATTGCAAGCTTCCTGTAAGAGAAAAAAATGATTTCCACGCTAAAAAAAAACCTGAATGATAGTGTTGATTTTTTTTATTGCCCAGAAACAAACCTTTGAAACCCATTTTTGCAGCCCCATGGGGGAAACGGCTGAAGAGTTCAGCTATACCATGAGGTGCTGGTCCCTCAAGTCTGCAGTGTGGGCCTATTTCCTGCTGTCTTAACTTCTGTCTCTGTGCCTTCACATGTTACAGCAGCTCATGGTTTCCTTCCTTGAGGTCTGTTTGAGCTAGAAGGTCCGGCACCATTGTCCTGGACTTCAGTCACACCTGACTTCTTGCTCTCTCGGTTGAATCACCTAGCTCTGCACCAAGCTCTATCATCTCCTCCCACATCCCTCATGTCATCAATTACACTTCACTCTTTAGTTTTTTTAAAACATCATTGTATAATGAAAGGTTAAGGGATGCAAATATATACACCCAATTGACTGGGTGACTAGCATTTTCCAAAAAAATGCTATCAATTTACCATGTGGCTGTGTGGGGGATCAAGAAACAGGTGACCCAAGACGAACTGGTTACTCTAGATGAATCCCTGAATGTCTTAAGACCATCTGAGGACCAGCTAATAGGAATATGCTTAGCATGTTAATGCGCTTAGCCAATACTCGACTGACATGTTTCTATTTGCAAGCCTGTGTTGGTAAATCTGGAGATGGGAAAGATTGTGACAGTTTATGTGTCCTGAGTGTGATGGCTTTGCTTGCTATTTAAGGAGACAAAGGCAAAAATAAAGGCATTGAAGGAAGACTTTTTCATTATTAGAGGAAAGTTTTCTATATAAATTCAGACAGAATAAGAAAACCCTGTACCAAAGCTGAAAGGCAGAGGGGGTTGTCTCTGACAACGTGGGGCCTGGGATCAGAAGTTCTTCATGGTCCTCTGGTTACAGCAAAGATCGAGACTGGCCCCCTTGAACTGTCTGTGTCTTAGGCATTGGTGTGGAATTCAGCTGAGAACAGAGATGGCAATAAAAATTAAATTTCAATGGATAGATTCTAAATACCAGAGAAAATATCCCAAAGTAGAAACCCTGGACTTGGAGCGCTGTAAACAGCAGCACTGATAATCCTTTGTTCAACAGCACTCTTGACACCAAAACCGGCAGCGCCCCTGGATGAGAACTGTCTCACTTGTGCAGGAGGCCCAGTGGAAAATTAGGATAGCAGTGCCTGGAAGTTTTAAATAAACTCAAAACCAAGGGAGACTTCACTCTGTGTGCTCCTGGCTAAATGCCATGCGGGATCTAGTGAAGTAAGAGGGCTAATTAATATTAAGGCTACACTCACAAATGATGTGGAATCTCTGCCTGTTTTGGTATGCAGCATAGCAGATGGAGTGTATTTTTTGTTTTCAAAATTTTGTTTTCAAATCAGATGTTTTTGTCTTTTAGAAGAAATGGGATAAAAGAATTTAGTTAACTAAACACTGAGGGAATCTGACTAGGATGGATGCGATTATATTTAGTATCCAAGAAATGTATTATGCCTGCCGGTAACCTGGACACATCATAATAATCCTTTAAAGAATGGCGTGCAAAAAGGGGTTTGGGGGTCAGGTTTCACCTATAATGCTAGTGCACAATTTATTTTATAAATATCTGGTGTATATTTTGTCTGTAGGTCCAGGGCACTAACATTTGGAAATGATAGTGTTTTCACTATAATAGCGTGATCTTAGTAGAAATACCTACAATATCATCTCTGCTTAATAGGGAAATTAACACAAATCAATCCAAGGAAGGGATTTCACAATAAAATTGAGCTTGACCTAAATGTCTTAAAACATATATGAAATAGTATCACCAGTCTCGATACAAAGTGGTGGTGCATATATTGACATGTGAGACGCAGCCTAAGAAAGGCCACTGTAGTGGTTAGTGAAAGAACTTACGGCCAGGCAAGGACTGTAGAAGATTTAGGAGTTCTGGACACACTACCAGAGAACGGAGCTGAGTTCCCAGAGAGCGTCAGACCATGAGGACGAGGGGCAGGGTTTCTACAAGGAACTGAAGACCTGGGGAAGGGTCTGAGATAGTAAATGTAGATATCGTGTTCCCTGTCTCTTGCAGGAGCACCTGCCTCATAAAAAGGCTGAACAACAAGGTGTGGGTCGATTGCTTCAGTCTCCCAGGAAGCCCGTCTCCCTGCCAGAGATGCTGACTGTGTTTCATGTCCCTCTGGACACTTTTGGTTCATTGTCTTATGGCTGCTTAGTGTGCACTGGGCAGATTGCTTCAACAGGAGAAATTTGCTTTTGAGGGTTTTAGCTCTTTTCTTGGCAATGGATAATCGCCTCATGTACCAGAGTGACATTTAAAGTGAATGGAAATCCCTGTCCACTGCTCACTGAATATCGATTTGCTCTTAGATAGTCTTCATCAACTGGTTCATCTCATCTTAAATAAGCCTTTCAGGAAGCCAAAAATATTTAGTCTTTGTATGAAAAGCATACGTATAATAAAACAGACATGAAATATACATGCTTCATATAATACATTATTACTGAGGACCAAAAGCCTCAGCATAAAGGCACAACTTTTCAATCACCAAGTAGACGCCTGTGTGTATTTCCTTGGTCATATCTCCCTCACGCCACTCCAAAACAGTCGCTATGAAGAGTTTCATAGTAGCCTTTGTTACTGCTTTTCAAAAGCTGACCTAGGTATGTATTCCTGAAAATAGTTCACTTTACATGGTTTTGAATTTTATGTAAATCCATGCACTTTGTGTTTGCAGTCTTTGCTCAGTGTTCGACCCTGGCTGTGACAGGCAGTCTGTGAAGTGGACCCTGATGATCGAACATTCTGGTGTTTGCAGTATGCAAGTTCTCTATCCTGGAGCTACTAACCTCCGACTACCAGCCTGTGGCAGGGCTCAGTGACACATGGCATGTGATGGACTGTCCTCTCACTGGCCAGCTGTCTTACACAGCTCTCGCTCTGTCACTGTGGTGAGGGCCCCGTGCTGTGGAGAGGGGTCCGGGTGACATAGCTGCTCCGTTCAGCGCTTATCAAGGTACCCAGGCTTTCGCCCCAGTGATGTCAGGAACCCAATACTCTCTGCAGCCCCGCAGTGAACTTGGTCCTGGGTCCTTCCGGTACCCGGTGCCAGCCCACACCTTCATGGAGCCTTGTGAAAGACCGGTGCAGCCGGCCGTGTGGGATTGCTGACTCGCAGAAGCAGTGGCCCAATGTACGTGTTTGTATGCTAACTTGCTGTGCTTTAAAGTAGGTGACTCATCCAGATTCATGTGGGCCCGCTTAACCCACAGAAGAGGAGGAAAGGGTAGAAGGGTACAGAGACGTGGAAGGACCACCACAGACCTGGCTATAAGGCCTAGTACACAACAGGTCGTCTCTTCTCCCTGCGTGTCCCAAGAGACACTCTTTACCAGGGCAGTGAGGGCCAGGCAAGGCAGGCAGCAGCAGCATCTAGAAGCTCAGCAGTGTCTTTTCTCTAACATCAAGGCTTGTGGTAAATAACACTGTTGCTGAATTTAGTTACCCAAGGGTAATGAGGATGATAAGGTTACAGAACAGCAATGCTCAGATTGAAGCATTTTACTATGAGATCTAAACTGAGTACAGTTCTACTATGGGCAGCAACTTGGGAGTGGTACCATTGACACCGGTGGTCCTCCTAACGGGATATATGAGTACGCAGTAAAAATGGTTCCCCCGTGCTGTAGGAGTCTGTGGATCCTACCTGCGTATATGTGTGTTTAGGAGTCTGACACTGAATGAACAATGTGTGCTAAGTGGCTTCAGTGGAAAGCCATGATCCCTCATCCAGAGTTCAATCACAGCACAGTTCTGAGAAGTGTGATCTATCAACTAAAACGAACCAAATTGGGGCTGGGCATTTAGCTCAGTGGCACAGCGTCTGCCTGGCAAGCGCAAGGTTGTGAGTTCAATTCCTGGTACAGGGAAAAACAAACAAACAAACAAAAAAAAAAAAAATGAAGCAAATCCTGCAGGAGAAAGAGCCACAGCACATCTACGCACACTCATCTCTCCAGTCCGCTTCCAAAGGTACCTACGGCAGTGCCCTGGGGGAGTACGCCACACATCTATTGGATGGCATTGGGTAGCAGATCTCAGGTGACACTGACAATTGGACACCAAAACACCCACATGGCCCCATGAGAATATGGCAGTGGTTGTGAAAAACTAAAAGAAGTCTTGATCAGGTCAGGCCCATGGTCTGTTCACTGGACGCTCTCCTGCCCAGGGTGGCCTTCGGCTGGCTGTAACCAAGAAGAAGTACGATGGCTCAGCCGCTCTCCCCTGAGAGAGGCAGGCCTGACGTCTCACGCACACCCTGGAGCTTCTTGGAAGGGCAGAGGAAGGGGGAATTCCTGACACTCCATTTTGGTTCAGGTGCTCTTACCAATCTATCTTGCTCCTTAGTTGCTCCAACCTCTCTCAAGTGAGGGTTTCCTCACAAGGTTTTATGTACACAACACGGCTTCTGGTTGTGATTTTAATGAATCCCACTGAGCACACCCATTGTAAGGTGACAACTGCTCAAATAGAGCCTCCTTTATGATAAAAGTGACCAGCATGGCCACTGTCCTTCCCTCACATATACCAGTGTGACAAAAATTGAAGGTAAACGGTTGCAGTGATTTACATTTAGATGTCTGCTAAAAGCCTCCTGCTCCTAAGAGGGATTGTGGGGAGTTGACTGGATCATGGGGTGTGATACACCCTCATAAGGGGATGGGTCCACTGGGAGTCATCCGGAACAACCACACACAGGGATCTGAAAGCTAGTGTATTAGGGAAAGGGTCGCAAGACAGAAGGAAAAGTAAGGATGCATGACCACAGTTTATTTCTATGCTTGCAAAATTTGGATTTATTTAAGATGTCAAAATATCTCCACTTGAAGATATATGACAGAGAGAGAACAAGTATTTCAGTGGGACTGACACAATGGAAAGATTTCAGAAGAAATTCAAACTTCCATGAAGAAAAGAAATATTAGCCTCAGGGGTGAAAAGAGTGTATCCAGAGGCCAAATCCAATTTCAGCTGGTCTCCCATGACCAGCTCACGCGTGACCTACATCTGCAATGCCGATTGAAGAGCAGGAGTGTTTGGGTCAGAACTCTTAGCAGCAGGAACCACTAGAGCATGTGGGGCGGCAGCAGGTGGTCCTGCAGCACGTGGTCTGGCAGCACTGGGGCCTGCAGCAGCTGGACACACAGCAGCTGGGGCGGCAGCAGGAGGGGCGGCAACAGCTAGAAATACAGCAGCTGGGCCTGCAGCAGCTGGAAATGCAGCAGGTGGGCTGGCAGCAGGAGGGGCGGCAGCAGCTGGAAATGCAGCAGGTGGGCTGGCAGCACTGGGGCCTGCAGCAGCTGGGGCGGCAGCAGGTGGTCTGGCAGCAGGAGGGGCGGCAGCAGCTGGAAATGCAGCAGCTGGGCTGGCAGCA